ATGTTTTGTTCCTCAGTGTGCAGGGTTGCTGTTAGTTGGGACCAACTTGACAGCACCTAACAACAACAGCAATAACCACTAAACTGTACGTAATAGGAAAGGCAAGAATGGTCCACCATTTTATTTCTGACTGTTCTTGGCACAGAATTTAGTAGGGGCTCTTTAGCTAATTGTTGTCTGTCTGTCTTGTTTTGACTGTCTGTCAATTTCTGGATGTCTCTGTCTCTATATCTGGCAGTCTGTCTTTGTCTGATTGATTAATTGTATGACTGAAGAGGGAAAATCATCTTTTCTAATTAAAATCCCTTATGTTATAGCTTGAGGAGCTCTGGTGACGTAGTACCTAAGGCATATTTGACGGCTAACCAGAAGGTTGGTAGTTCAAACCCACCAGCCGCTCTGCAGAAGGAAGATGGGGCAATCTACTTCCATAAAGATTTACTGCCTGAAAAACTCAATGGGGGTTGCTGTGAGTCTGAATCGACTTGATGGCTGTGGGTATGTTATAGCTTAAGGTCATTCCCTTTTTACTTAACTTTTAGAGACCCCAAAATGACATTAGAAATGTTTTATATAGAAGGGACTATAAGAGGTCACTAAATGAGCAGAACCATCACTCCCTGACAGATAGGAGATCTTCCTATTCATACATCTCCAAGAGTTAAAAGTCTACACTCTCCCAGAATAATTTCGTTTAGACATTTATAAGGTTTTTTAAAACACAAATATGTTTTGGGAGTTGCTTCAGAATTAAGATATTACATAGATTCATTGTATTCGTATGCTTAACACATTGGTTCTTCATAAATAGTTGAATGAATGAATGGAAAAATGAATTAGGTAATATTATGCTCAGATTTGAGTCCCTCCTCATGGAAGCTGATCACCATCCTTCATAAATGTGGTTGTACCAGGTCCCTTGAGCTACTCTTCTTCAAGCAAAACCATCACCACTATTTCTCTTGCCTTATGTCTTGCTCAAATGGACTGGTTTTTTTCTAGCACTTCCATTGCACTCAGTGTGACAGTATGCTCTGAAGTCAGTCATTAATTACCTGTTCCTCACAGCATCCCTGGGAGGTTGTCCGCTGTTACCCATGTGTCCCAGTTGAAGAAGCCAGAGCTATGAAGTGACTTGCTCAGGGAGCCTTCAGAGGACCAACGTTTAGCAGGCCTGTGACTAGGCCCAGCCCCAGGCCCTGTCCTGAGATTCAGCATGCAGAAACCTGGACCCCAAAGGGCTTTCATTGAAAACTTCTTGGGGCATTTGGAATCTGATGCAGCTATAATATCTGGGTCAGACAGGCACTTTATTAATCTGTAATAGGGCATGTGAAAAGAAGAACAGAGATAAAGAGCTTTGGATGGAGGGAGAGAGGCATCAGAGGAAGGTGTCTGAAAACAGGGACTGTACCCAAACTGCAAGTCCCCACTGCATAAGTATGAACAAGTGCCTGCCTGCTGAGCCACAGAAAGGAACAATTAGTACTTGGGATTTTAATTCCTTCTTTCAACTCTGTATACCATTCTTAACTACTCTTTGAAAGTCATTTGAGGTCTCAATCAATCCAAGTTATAAAGCAATTAATAAGCTTGACTTTGGTGTTTTTGTTTTTTATGTTGCATCAACTTTTCAGGACTGGCCACTTCCTGATACACAGTCTACATGAATTTCCTTTGAGCTTCCTTTATTAATGAAGGAAAAGAAGGGTTTGATGGTGTGGTGAAATTTTTTTCACCTTGGTTTCTGATCTGAATTCCCAGCTGACACATATTCTCAGGACAGGGCAGAAAGTTGTCCTGGCCTCTTCAGAATTACTCACTGAGTGTCTTTGGCAGGATCTCATCTGTGAGCTCTTAATCAGCAGGACTTGGTTTTTAGCTCCATGTTCAACCAAAAATGCTTTGGAGTGCTAATGCTATTCTCAATCAACTAGAAAATGGTCTTCTCTGAAGTGACCCATAGGTATCATGTTCCTGCTCCCTCAGCAAAAAATCATAATTTCCAAAACAAGAGGATTTTGAGATTTAGATCAACCCCTCACTTAATAGAGGAGGAAATGAGGTCCAGCATCACCTTGTCTCTGACTGCCATTATGCCCATGATGGCAAGAGAGCCCTATGGCCTAGCGTTGGCCTCTTCTTCCCTATCTAAGCTCAATCCCTAGGTGGTCCAATCTAGTCTCCTGGCTTTACAAACCATCTAAATCAGTGGTTCTAAAATGAAGGCGATATCAGCCCCCAGGGGACATTTGGTAGTGTTTGGAGACATTTTTTTATTGTCACAACCAGGAAAGGGGATAATACTGATACCTAGTGGGTAGAGGCCAGAGATGATGGGAAATATCCTACAATGCACAGGACAGTCTCCCATGACAAAGAATTATCTGCTTCAAAATGTCAATAATACTGAAGTTTTGAAATCCTAATCTAAATGCCAGTGGCTCCCAAATTTATATCTCAAATCATTCCAGTTATCTATTACTGTGTAACAAACCACCCACAACTTAGTGGCTTTCCACAACAAGCATTTATTTATCTCATGAATCTGAAATGTGGGTAGGTCTCAGCAAGGAAGGCTTATCTCTGGTCTATAATGTCTGTGGCCTCAGCTGGGAAGACTTGAAAACAGGGGATGACAACTGGGACCTGGAATTACTGAGTTCTTGTTCTAACATGTCTGCCTGTTGCTGTTGGCTCTCAGCTGGGACCTGAGCTGGACCTGTCAGCTCGGACACTTACCTTAGCCTTTCAATAAAGCTTGGGCTTCCTCACAGCATGGGGGGTGGGTTCTAGCACTGAGCATCCCAAGAGAAAGGGCCAGGTACAAGATTGATCACTTGTTTTACTTAGCCTCAGAAGAACCATAGTATCATTTCTGCTATATTCTAATTGGTATCATTCAGTGGTTTATGAAAACAATTTATCAATAAATATTTATTGGGTTGTCTACTATGTGTAAGGCACTCTTCTTATGCTGGAGATACAGACATGAACAGAATAGTTTTTTAAAAAAAAACTTTGCCTAATGGGTTATACAAGGAACTCTGGTGATACAGTGGTTAAGGCATTTGGCTTCTAACCAAGAGGTCAGTGGTTTGAACCCACCAAATGCTCTGTGGAAGAAAGATGAGGTGGTCTGTTTCCATAAACATTTACAGCCTTGGAAACCCAGTGGGGGTCGCTATGAGCTGGAATTGACTGATGGCAGTGAGTTTGGATTTTTTTGGAGTAGTTATACATGCTAGCAGAGGAGGTACACAATAAACAAATGCACGTGTAAAATACATGGTATGTGAAATCATAAAAAGTACAGAGGATAAAAATATAGCAGAAAGGGAGAGAGTGCTGCAATTAGTTTTAAAATTTTAATCAAGCAGTCATAGAGACCGTCATTATAAATTGACATATGACCAGAGATATGAAGGAGATGAGGGCAGAAACCATAAGGATACCTGGGGAAAGAGCATTCTAGGCAGAGAGAACAGCAAGCGCAAAGACAGTGAGGTGACAGCATACTTGGTGTGTGTTTTGCTTTTCTAGTGCTGCTGTAACAGAAAATACCACAGGTGGGTGGTTTTAACAAACAGGGATTTATTCTCTTAAAGTTTAGGAGGCTAGAAATCCGAGTTCAAAGTGTCAGCTCTAGGGGCTGGGTGAAAGCCCTTTGACCTTGAGCTTCAGCTCTGCCTCTTCCTCCTGGCCCACTGAAGCCGAAGGCTTCTCTTAACTCAGGCAGCTGCTGGCTGCTAAAGCTAACAAACCCAAGGTGGACAAATAAAATGGCACAGTCCCAAGATTACCAAACAGTATGGCAGGGCACTAATTCAGGTCTAGAGATAGTCCCAAGATTGACAGGAGACATCACAGGCTGCTGAATGAGGGCTCTGCTACATCCAGGATCCAAGCATGCCAAAAAGCTCAAGAGACCTTTCTCAATGCTGTTTCTTATATACTGGAAGCAGATAACATCCCCAAGACAGCTACTCAGCTGCTCCAGTAAATTCCACCATGGAGTTGATTACCAGTCTCATCATATCCAATAGGAATACCCAACTGCCCAGTCACTCAAAACCAGGCCCAGTCAAGTTGACACACAACTACCACAGCATGTTTAAGGAAAAATAAGGATGCCACCAGAGATGCAAGAGTGTGAGCAAAGGCTAGAGGGGCAGGAAAGGTACCTCTGGGCCTTGTCTGTTCATTGTGCATCTGGAAATCCCTTTTCGAATTCTAAACTTGAATAATTACAGAATAGAGATTAGTGCATAATATGTGGTAGGCTTATAAAACAGAGGAAACTATGTAGAGTGAGCAAGATGTCGAACACTTTCAACAGGCCTTGAAAATCTTGGAGAGGGGTTGTGGAAGGAAAGAGGGCATCTTCCCCTTGCCACATCTTATTTATTAGTAAGATAAAATCATGCTTGGCTCTTTTCTGGTCCCTGGAAGACATTTTCATTAAATCTCCCTCTTCTCTGGAATATGGGAGGCTGTTCTTTCAAGTCAGGCTGAGGTGGTGGCACCTGTGAAAATTTTTCTCATTCTGAAAAGTAGCTACTGTATTGAGTTTTTTGGGGGAGGGGGAAGAGAGAGTGGATTTCACAGTTGCAGGGTTTGTGGTTTCATCCCATCTGATGTGGCCAGTGTCCTATATTTGGCCCTTGATAGCGGCGGATCAAATGTCCTGCTTCAGCAGGGCTAGACGATTGGATCTGTGGAAGGAGCACAGAGAACATGTAGAGAGTCCCTTCCTCTCCTAGGCCACTTGTATTTTCTTTGCTCTTGGAAAGATCTGATCCTGTCCTTGGCAGGAGCTAGGGTACTGCAGATGTTAGGGGTGATGGATGACATGTTATTTGAGGAAGTAGATAACTGGGCTGAGGTTGTAGGTAAGTCAGGATATATAGTCTCAACAGAGTGAAATGGAGAGGGTAGAATGAGGTGGCAATGAGTTACAAGGAGAGTGTCTTAATAATCTTATGTGTTTTCTCACTTAGGTTGCCTTAGAAATGCTTTTTACTGGGGAGCCGATTTCTGCTAAGGAGGCCTTGTCTCATGGTTTGCTCAGCAAAGTAGTGCCAGAAGAGCAGCTGGAGGAAGAGACCATGAGGATAGCAAAGAAGATTGCCTCCATGAGCCGCCCTGTGGTGTCTTTGGGCAAAGCTGCCTTCTATAAGCAGCTGTCACAGGACCTTAAAACAGCCTACTGCCTCACCTCCCAGACCATGGTGGACAACCTGGGCCTAGAAGATGGGCAGGAGGGAATCAAGGCCTTCATCCAGAAGAGAAAACCCATCTGGTCACATTGAGTTGACAGCAGAGGAGGGGAGGGGGTGTGAACCCAGTGGGCAGCACTCAGAGGCCCACCCACAGCCCTTATTCTCTGACTCTCCAACTACCAAGCTACCTTTTGATTGTAATACAAAACATCCTATTTTTATAATAATAATATTGGTTTCACTGCCTGTGATTAGTAGCCATGATTCCATGGGAAAAAGAAGAGAGTAAAGGGAGAGTAATGGGCTGGAGAGGAAAATGAAGTGCCAACTTAAGTGGCAGGTTAGTAAGCACCTCTGCTGGGCCAGCTATTGGAGAAAGCCTCGTATTTGATACACTCTTCCTTCATAGGCCTGTACGTGAAGGATCACCCTTATATGAAACAAGGTGATGAATAATGAGGTGTGAAAGAAGGATGCCAACCTGAAATAATATCCTGTAAGATGGAGTTAACTCTGGTTGCTCAAGAGAGGTGAAACATTTAAAATCTCCACAGGATATCTTCCATACTGAAAATCTTTTTGATTCTATTGAGAAATAATCATTCCTATGGCTCTGGAATAATTTTACTTGATTTTAATAGACTAAATATTTATAGAGAATGGTAATTTTATTTTCCCAACCAGACTTCAGACAGTTTAAGAAAAAAAACGATGAGCTCTTTCTTTGTGTGCTCACACTGCTGGGCATATGGTAGATGCCTTATGTTTCTATAATGAATGTTCTTGCCATCCGACATCCTGTAAAACTAAGACCCCAGGCTAAACCTGAAGATGAAAACTGCAGAGAGGTGGGAAGGGAAGCAGAACATATACTCGTGCCCATTAAGAATCACCTTCTCTGTTAAATCAGTCACAAAAGGACAAACACTGTATGAAACATGTAGAATAAAGCAGATGTACAGAGACCAAAGTTTATTAGTGGTGACCAGAGGCTAGAGGGAGAGGGAATAGGGGAACAGTTATTTAGGAAGCATTGAGTATCTGTTAATGGTGATTGGAAATTTGGTAATGGATATGGGTGATGGTTGTATAATATGATTTATGTAATTGATGTCACTGATTTATACATGTAAAAAAGTTCAATTGCCAAATGTTGTGTTTTATTTAAATATATAAAACCATCAAAAAAGAAAAAAGAATCACCTTCTCTGGACACATTTCTGAACTCTACTTGGCTTCTGGTGAAGAATCCAAACATCAGGCATTTGAGTTCCCCAGCTGAATAAGAATTTGGATTAAGACCTAAACATATTACTCTCTGGCTTCTGCTCTAATGTGGTCCAGGGAATGTTATAAATATCTTGTCCTCAAGCTTGCCTAGAAGACTACTTTTTTTCATTCGAGCCAATTTCTATCACCTAAGAGTAGAATGTGCCCATAAATGTATTTATTATCAACTCTGGTGAGAAACAGCACCATATGGACCTAACCTGTATTCTTCATTCAGATTGCTAGGGCGTGTGGCTCTTGGTATGAATATCTCCCAGTGTTTTTACAGGTTTCTCTTGAGGTTGGATTTTTTTTTTTCCTTTCCCAGAGTTTGGAAAGGTAGAAAAGAGTGTATTCTTGAAAAGGAGATTCTTGTTACTAAGAGTGCCACTCATGAAAAGAAAAATAATTAGACATTTTAGAAGGTTGGGCAATCCTACTTCTGTAGTGATACCGCCTCGGAAACCCAAGGAGGGGTCGCTATGAGTCGGGGCGACTTGACAGCAAATAACAACAACATTATAAATTAGGCCATTTATTGGACACCTCATTTGGTTTAGTACGGCCAGATGCCCTGTGTACATTTTTATTTAATCCTCACAAGAATCCAATAGAGTAGGTACTGTTATTATTCTCCAGTTTATACTTCCATAGTGATACTGCCTCGGAAAACCAAGGAGGGGTCACTATGAGTCGGGTCCAACTCGATGGCACATAACAACAACAATAACAGTTGAGATTTAGGGCACTTTAGTGGCTTAGTGCCTAAGGCATTTGACTGCTAATCAGAAGGCTGGCAGTTCAAACCCACCAGCCACTCCTTGGAAGGAAGATTGGGCAATCTACTTCTGTAGAGATACAGCCTCAGAAACCCAACGAGGGGCCGCAATGAGTCAAACCAACTTGACGGCAGTGAGATTTTTTTTTAGTTTAGTTGAGACTCAGGTTGTACACATTGTCCAAGGTCAAACTGCTAAGACTGTGCAGAATGAGGACTGCAAACCCTCTCCCTGATAACAAAGCATAGATATGCTTTCCATTGGTGATACTGTCTCAAAGGAAGCCCCTGGGCTGGTATGAGGCTAGTCTAGATCAGCAATCCTGAAGAAATGATTTTTCTACTCCATGGCAGTTGTCCAAAACAAAGGAATGGACTAAGTGCCCCTTGCTACGCTTGTGTGCAAGGGACTCATATTTGATTATTGGCAGAGCACTTACGGAGCTTTTACAACTAAGTTAATAAACACCCGAGTGAAGTTTCTAAACTGGATTGTGAAGGAACTGGCTGTCATGGTTGGACAAAATATGAGTCAGTGGGGCACATAAGGTACATCCCTTTCCAGGTGGCCTGCTGTGGAGGTTACTCCCTCGTACTTGACAGGTCACATGGTGTAGTGAAGAAGGTGATCGGAATTCTCTGGGCTTTTGAGAAACTACATAAACCTCCTCACACATTTGGCAAATGAAAATTAAAAGTTAAATTTTCAATTTCTATATGAGCATGTACTATGCCCTCAAACCATGAAGTTCTCAGGCCTCTAGGCTCACTTCCCAGCCTGTGAGGCATTCTGTACTCAAGGACTAGCTATACATTTTAATAGTAGCCTGTGTAGAAAATAATTCAGAAGGAAACTCTGCTACCTGCCCTCTGATGTCATAGAATTCATCCCCAAGGCAAATAAAAATTTTTTGGTGTATTTATATCCCTGCTTCCTTCTACCAGGGTATTGAATGAAAATTTTAAATGTGATGATTGCTTTCGGAAGGCCTAGCATGTTCATCTTTTGCTCTGTTTCATTTACTTCTCAGGAGATCTGAGGTGACTGAGCTCAGCTCAGTAGTCTATCCCCCAGCAGGTTCAGGGGCTGTAAAGTTAGTGACATTGTTCTTCACTTTTGCATGCCCTCAGTGAGCTATCACTCAGAGGCCACTTGATCCCTGGAGAATATAACAAAAGAAGTGAATGACAGCACATCAGCTTCCTGATTTATTTTATGCCAACGACTCTGAGGGAGTTACCATGTCAGAGCACATGGTGATTTTACCTGTTGTTACGGAGTCAATGCCAACTCATGGCGATCCATGTGGGTCAATGTAGAACTGTGATCCACAGGGTTTTCATAGCTAAATTTTCAGTCGACCGACAGGCTTTTCTTCCAACGGACTTCTGGGTGGACTCAAACCAACCTCCAGCTCAGTTAGCAGCTGAATGTATTAACTATTTGCATCACTCAGGAGCCCCTCCATGGTGATTTTGTTGCTGTTGTTGTGTGCCGTTGAGTCAATTCCAACTCATAGCGACCCTATATGACAGAGTAGAACTTCCCCATAGGATTTCCTAGGCTGTAATCTCCATGGGAACAGATCACCAGGTCTTTTTGCCTATGGAGTTGGCAGTGGGTTTGAACTGCCAACCTTTCAGTGAGCAGCTGAGTGCTTAACCATTACACCAGATGGTGAAATAGTGAGCCTAGGATCATGCCAGGAGCTCTGGTAGCATAGTGCCTAAGGCACTTGACTGCTAACCAGAAGGCTGGCGGTTCAAATTCACCAGCCACTCCTTGGAAGGAAAGTTGGGCAATCTACTTCCATAGTGATACTGCTTCAGCAACCCAAGGAGGGGTCGCTATGAGTCGGGTCTGACTCGATGGCACATAACAACAACAACAGGATCATGCCAGGCAGCCCTATGAAGTAGGTCTTCTTACCCCATGTTATGTGTCAGGCTCAGAGAAGTTAAGGCATTTGTCCATGGTCACCCACTAGTAAGAAGCTGAGCTATGATGTGGATTTGGATCTATATGAGCATGAAGCTATCCTCCTGAAACTATACTGCATTCCTCCCAACATACCGAAAAGGTTATTCCATCCTAAAGAAAGAAAGAGGAGCAATGCACTGAAAAGAAACAAATCATCAATGGGATAGCAAAGACAACAGTTTTACTTATCAAAGGGGGACTTGTGTGTGGAGGGGGAACACTGGTTTTTAACACCAAGAAAACTGTGAGTTCTGGTCCCAAGTATACAATGTAAATGTTATAGGTGATGTAACCTCCTTAAATGCTCAGTTTTCCTTTCTATAAAAATGACACCATTGCCACCTATGTGAAATATCTACAACAGGCAAGGGTTTACAGACCTAAGGTTATTAGCAATTACCAGGGATAGGCAGGAGCTAGAGGGTAGGGGAACTCATTGCTTAGGAGACATTAAGCTTCTGTTACAGGTGGTAGAAAAATTTGGGAACATGATGAACACAATGTTATTAAATTGCACATGTGAAGAATGTTGAAATAACTAATGTTTTGTTACATATGTCTTTACCACAATAAGAAACAAAGGCACCATTGTACTCTCTTGTTCTTTTAGTTCTAACATTCGGATTTTACAGTGCTGGGATTTGGAAACGTGACACAACAGGTAATTTTTGCTCAAATAAAATGCTCTTTTACAAATGGAGAAGACGGGCCTTTTATCCTGAGAAATGGTAAAACACATGATTATATTTGATGGTGAAAGATCCATTATAGATACATAGAGATTTCTGCACCACACCCAAATCTTTTGTAGATGTCATCTAGGTAGATTCAACATTGACCAGTCCTCCACTGCAATTAGCAATTACTCTTAAATCTGTCTAGGTGCTTCCAGCAGCCTTTCCATTATCCGTCCACTTTCCTTTCCTGTCTCCTTATAAAAACCCATTTCACTAAGAGTAGTGTTTCCAAAAGTGTGACCCATGGATCATGTCTAAAATGCAGACTCCTGGGCTTCCCACACCTACTGATTCAGAAATTCTGATTATACAATTCAATTTTTCA